ACATTTTACAACTTTTAGTGATAACAGAACAGTGTTATTTGAACTGTGAAGCACTTTGTAGCTCTGTGTTTTGAAAAGTGCTATATAAATAAAGTTATTATTATTAATGTTGTTATTATTGGGCATGGTGGTTAGCACTGTTGCCTCCCAGCAAGAAGGTCCAAAGTTCAATTCCACCGTTCCAGGATCTTTGAGTTTGCATGTTCTCTCTGGGTACTGTGGCTTCCTCCCACAGTCCAAAGACATGCAGTTAGTGGGGATAGGTTAGTTGCCCATAGGTGTGAATGTGAGTGTGAATGATTGTCTGTGTCTATGTGTTAGCCCTGCTACAGACTGGCGACCTGTCCAGGGTGTTCCCTGCCTCTCTAAGACAGCTGGGATTGGCTCCGGCCCCTCGCATCCCTGACAAAGGATAAGCAGAAGAGAATGAATGGATTATTATTATTATCATACATTGTTTTTCAACTCTACCTAATGTTTTGTGCTGTTTTTCAGTTTTTTTGTTTTGTTTTTATTGGATCCAGAATGGAATATATTTGTGCAAGATGTGAGTGCTAAATTATCACTCTAGTGATAATTGATAATGATGATAATTAGTGACACAGATTAATGGAGGTGAGGCCGAGCAGACGGGCAGTAGCTACTTTTAATAAGTGAGGTTATTCTTGAGGTATAAAATGTCCAGCCTCAGTATATCTGTCAAAAATCTTCTGAAACTATATTGTTGTGAAAAAGGTGTTCAATTAAAAGCAGCTTGTTTGTAACTGCAGCTGGTTTTTGTGCATCGATACCAAGAACCTGAAAACTTGTCAGATAAGTCCTGAAAAGTTGATTCTGTTCATCTGGACGTAGCATTTTCACCACTTTCACCACACTGTACTGTTTATTATTATTATTGTTAGTAGTATTAGTATTATTATTATTATTATTATTACCTGGCTGCGCGAAATATCTATGTCCAGGTGAACAGAATCAACTTTTTGGGACTTCCTTGCCTGGATGATTGAGCCTGCATCGAGACTTGGCACATAAGGTTTTACATGACATTGAATTCTCATTTTAATTATCCAAAAAAAGATTTTTAATCAATGAAAATCTTCTTTTTTCCCAGGATGTTCCTGATCGAGTCATCACATCGCTACCGTACTTCGTCGTGAGAGGCTGACATTGTTGAAGAGATACTGAAACCCTCTGAAGCAGGTAGGATCGCTTTTGCAGAGTAACTGATGTTTTCTTCCACCGGGGGTCCAGAGTATGACTGCTCTTACTGAGTTTTTTCTAAATGCACCACTTGAAACCCACTTAAGCAGAGGAATGATCAGAGGTCTGAGGAGAAGCTACAGAAGCTCCCCTCTCTCTCTTCCTCCCTCTCTTTCCATTTCTCGTTCATCCTCTGTGGTAATTTCAGATCCCGCAGGCAGACACCTGCGTCTCTATTTGATAAATATTGAATCTTCCAGAATTGAAATGGATCTTTAACA